AATAATAATAATAACAATTGTTGTTGTTGTTGTTGTTGTTGTTGTTGTTGTTGTTGTTCACATCAGACAGAACTGATCCCAAACTAAACACGTTATAATCCTGGACTAAATCAAGATGTTGAACAGCTTTAGCAGTGATGTCAGGCTTTAAACACCTGCTGATTGCTGTTATCTTTAAGGTTAAACTGGTAGCTTTAAGGTGGACCTGTTATCTTTAAGGTTAAACTGGTAGCTTTAAGGTGGACTTGTTAAGGCGCTGTGGTCCTACCTGCCAGTGCTTTGATGCGGGACCTCTCGAAGAGTCGGGCTGAACTGTTCTCGTTGTCCCAGTCGTCGTCCCAGCGGTTGTTGACCGTGTCACTGCTGCTGTACTGCTGCTGCAGCTCCATGTGGTCGAACTCGGCTGCAACAGTTGTCATCATGGCTGATCAGCTGACACAGGCTTCACCGTCAGACAGGACACGTCCACATGAGCGTCTCTGGGCCCACTGTCAACCTTTCAGAGAGGACAGGAAGTGGGTCAGTATTATTTAGAAGTGTCTCCACCTCCTACCCCCTGTAGGGGACATATCAAACACAGCCCTTTGCTGCATTTAGTGGAGTACTCTGAGGCTGTCCTCAGTCTCAGGTGCTGCAGAGATCTCTGCTCTGATTGGCTCAGATTGATCAGCTGATCAGTTCTGATGCTTTATAAACTATTACATCAAAATATCTGAAACGGAACTGACAAGATCTGGACTTCACTACTATTTGATGGTCTTAATTCTCCTCAGACTGGATCAGACTCTGGATCAGACTCTGGATCAGACTCTGGTTCAGGCTCTGGATCAGACTCTGGTTCAGGCTCTGGATCAGACTCTGGTTCAGACTCTGGATCTGGATCAGACTCTGGTTCAGGCTCTGGATCTGGTTCAGACTCTGGTTCAGACTCTGGATCAGACTCTGGCTCAGGCTCTGGATCAGACTCTGGATCAGACTCTGGTTCAGGCTCTGGATTAGACTCTGGTTCAGGCTCTGGATCAGACTCTGGTTCAGACTCTGGATCTGGATCAGACTCTGGTTCAGGCTCTGGATCTGCATCAGACTCTGGTTCAGACTCTGGATCAGACTCTGGATCTGGTTCAGACTCTGGTTCAGACTCTGGATCAGACTCTGGATCAGACTCTGGCTCAGGCTCTGGATCAGACTCTGGATCAGACTCTGGTTCAGGCTCTGGATTAGACTCTGGTTCAGGCTCTGGATCAGACTCTGGTTCAGACTCTGGATCTGGATCAGACTCTGGTTCAGGCTCTGGATCTGCATCAGACTC